AAGGGCAGTGGGGAGGAGGGTAAGGACAGAGGGGGCAGGGTGGGAACCGGATAGAGGGGAGCTATGAGGGGAGGGGGGGAAGAGGAACAACTGTAATAATCTGAACAATAAAGATTTAATTAAAAAATTAAATATTCCAGAAACATAAAAAAAGATGAATAAGAAAAAAGAGAGCAGATTTTCAGTGATTTAATATGGTGTGACATCGTTATTGTAATTTATCTTCTAGAGTTTACATTCATATTTTATTAACTTAAAAGTAGATGTACTGTATTTATTAGGGTTCATTTATTAAAACAATACAAACTTCAAAGTTGTTTCCAACTATTACATGTTTTCTTTTTCATGGAAAAGTTTGCAGCAAAGACATCAAATTGTTCTATCTTCTTTATAAACAAGAAAACTCAAAACTCATCAATCCTTGTCATATTGAAAATGCCAATTTAACATTAAAATAAGTAACTGAATCTAAAAGCACAAAATTGTACAAGCAAAGATGTTAAGTACCAAAGCTAAATTGGCTGTGCCGGGCTTTCACTCAAAATGTCATCAGTTTCTCAAGAAGAAATGAATACCCATCTAACATTTTCTAAATCCACAGTACTTATTTCCTCATGGACATTGTGGTTAACATAATATAGAGAGAAAATTTAAAGAAAAAATACACTATTTGATTTTCATGTGTGTGTATGTGTGTGTGTGGTGTTGGGGTCTTGAGGTATTATAAATATCATGACCTGCTGGGGAAATGTTCATTTCTTGTCCTTGCAAATTTTAATGATAAGCTTGCAGAGCTTGGCCAGCTGTTTTAAGCTATTTATTTGCACCAGAAAGAGGGAACACACAGCTGCAAGATCAACCGGGAAGCAATGAAGAGCCTGAGCTCTGCTCTGTGAGGCAACAGTGAGCCAGAGGAGAAGCTGAAAGCTGTTCCTGGGCAGAGGGAGGTCGGAAATTGGATGAGAGATGGAAAAAGTCAAGAGGTAAATTACTCTGAGGAGTGTTTCTTACATTTAATGTGCTTAGGAATCGCCAGGGGACCATGTTAAAGTGCAGATTCGGACTCAGAAAGCCTGGAGTGAGACCTGAGAATTTCATTTCTAAGAACCTCCTAGGCCTTGACGTTGAACGCTGATGCTTGCAAAGTGCCAACTTTGTTTTATCACAAAGTCTATGAGATTAACAAACTGAAATGAATACATTTCCCCAAATTGTCAATATATAGAAACGTGTTTTATTTTCTTTATACCATCTTAAACATACACACACACACACACACACACACACACACACACACACACACACACAAAGGAGGTAGACCACTTGTGGCTTTGACATACAAGTTAATTTCTTGTTGTTTAAAATAAATACACATATAAGTATCTATTAGTAAAATGTCACTGTGGTTTTGGCTTTTTGTAGACCCTTAAGTAGCAGGTTTCTATGGTATGCTATCTGATAAAGTAATAAACTCAAATTTCTAAAATTAAACTTTGTTTTGGCTTTTGGATGATGCATTTTTAAATGAGTTTTCCAGCTCAATGCTGAGTTTTGGTTCACTCTTTATGACAAGCCAGGCTGTGCTTTATCCTAGTCATTAGAACCCTTTTACACCTATGGGAAAACCAAATCCTGGCTCCCTTCATCCTTTCCCTTCTGAAGCAACTAACCATGGCCTGATTATGTGGTAGGTTTTGGCACTGTGTCAATGTCAAGGTGTACCAGGAAGAGAAGCAGATACAAAGATGACAGATAGATGAAGTATCCTTGATGCAAAACATCCGTTGGTGAAAAAGTTGATGGTACCATAAAAATTAGTATGTTTAGGTACCAAAGTCTAAAGACTGAACACCAATACCAAGTGGAAGTAAGTGTAACCTCTTAGAAAAGAGAACCAGCATAGAAGAATATGGAATGCATAAATGTGTTCCTATCAAATATTTCAAAGTAACATTTTGCGTTTTATACAGGCTATAATTGGAAGAAAATAAAAAGGGCGTGCATGGTCATTTATTACACCGTTTTGTAGGCACAAGAATTTTTCAAATCTATGCCCCTTTTTTTCTGAAAAGATAAAAAAGAAAATTTTATCACACAAAAGGCTCTTTATAAATATTCAGGCTACCAAAATGTCACACACCTTAATAATCTATGTCTGGCAGGTAAAGTTTTAAAGATATTTAAGAAGTTTAAAATGTAACCGCATCAGGTTTTTTCTAAATAAAATATACCCAACTTTAAATTGAACTAGACAAGTTGCAAATATTTTAAATAAAGAAATTAAGGCAGCATAGGTTTAATACACCCTATACTACTTGGAGCAGTCACTAAGGTATATTTTATGGCTACTACAGCTCTGGGGACTACTATCTGTACGTACACATTCTCATTCTTTTTTTCCAAATATTTTTTGTTTATTTCTGAGAGGAAAGGAGAGGGAGAGAGAGAGAGAAACATCAATAATGAGACTGAATCATTCATCTGCTGCCACCTGCATGCCCCCACTGGGGATGGAACCCACAACTCAGGCATGTGGCCTGATCAGAAATAGAACCGTGACCTCCAGGTTCATAGATTGATGCTCAACCACTGAGCCACACTGCTGGGCTATACATTTTCTACATTGGTTAAAATTTAGACTGCCTTCTCAATTCTCTTATTCCAATTGCATCACAAAGCATTAATGGTCACAACTAGATCATCTGCCTGATACTAATAATAATTAATGTTCAATACATTCAAGCAATTGATAAATTCAGAAGGAAAAGAAATACTTTCAAAATTCTCAGTAGTTCTACTGGGCACTAATATTAGTCTTTCTTTGTCCATGTGTTAAAAACACTGATAAATGTGTCACCAGCATTCCAGGAGTTTGCCTAAGAGAGCATGCCAGTAGTTCCGTCTGCTCTCTATGCAGGGTAATGGACAGGGACCATGTTCCTTCTCAATAGTTTACTGAACTCACCCCATGTGATGGGCTAGAGATCCAGCCCAGCTCCCCTTGAATCGTTTTGGAATCCAGCAGATTGACTGAAAGAAAACACAAATACACAAACACTGTTAAGAGGAATGAATTTATATTTGCCTTTTTCAAGCTAATGTTGTCTGCTACTGGTGGCGATATGAAAATAATAACATATTCAAAACACACGACTTCATTTTCTTTAGACCTTTAATGTATAAAAATTATAAGAGAATTACAAAAGAAAAGCAACCACAGGGAAAGTTAAGGGATTGAACACCTCCGTGGCTTTTGTAACTCTGTTTACAAGATAAGTTAACGTTCAATGCATTTATAATGATTTCTTATAGAATAATTACAGATTTAAAGAGGAAACAATTAAACACAAAGTTGGAAATAATATTAATGCTAACCTGAAATCAAAATAACTTCAAAGATCATAAAATGTGATAAATTTACATATGATTTTACTATAAATTAATTTCTTAAATATGCTTCCACCATAAATTAGTATTTCTGTTTGCATATTTAATATGGCATGTTTATATTGTCCCTGCCAGTCGCAAACATTCTGTGCTGTGTGTTTTTTAAATCCTCAGCCAAAGATATGTTTTATTGACAGAGAGAGAGAAACATCAATGTGTTGCCTCCATAGCCTTGGTGTGGATGGAATCCAGAACCTTGGTGTGTACCCTGACGGGGAATTGAAACTGCAACCACAAATTGTGTACGGGATGACACTCCAACCAACTGAGCCACCAGAGTTGTAATGTCTATTATTTAATACCATATAAATGGTCTCTTTATGTGTAACAACCAAAATGCTTAGCAACTAATTTGAGGAGAAACCAAAGCAAAAATATGTTTTATAATATTGCCTGTGTAAAGCTTTACTTATTTAAAGAATATATTGTTCCCCAAAAGATTTAATGATTTTAACTCAGAACTTTGTTACTTAATAAAAAGTCTGATGTTGATGAACAATAAAGTGTAATATGAATGTGGTTGCATTTTGGATATATTATTAAAAAAGAAAGACAAATGCTTTGTTTTCAATATGGAGAATATTAATCTGTAATTGACTAGAAAATAATATATAAAAAGATAGTTCAGGTTTAATTAATAACAAAGGTCTCACTTTTATTGTTTATCTGTTAAATAATGGAAACTATGGTTTTACAGCATCCTTCTAAATCAGAAAGCAATCCCACTGTTGACTGATGGAAGATGTAAAGGAAGTTTACATAAAATATGTAAGTATTATTAACATGAACCAGAACAGGTGACTAAATAACTACAATAGGAGAGAGTCCTTTTCAAGGGTTCCATATATTCACAAATCAAAATTTAATGTTAGTACATGCGTGCACATGTCCGTGTGTTGACAAATAGTGTTTCTGCATGTGTGAAAAGCAGCACCTTTTCTTTAATCACCCCAATTAGTTTTTACAAAGAAAACATTTATCTTATAAAATGCTAACAAAAATAAATAATATATTTGATAAATATCAAAATTCTGAATTTTCAAGTGCTGCTTTTTAAAGATGATATTTGTTAAGCTGGTTAAATAATAAATATACTAGTTGAGTATTATTAAGTTAAAAAGAGATAAAATTCTGAAAGTTAGATTCTCTAAGTTTTAGTAGTGAAAGAAAAACACATGAAATTAATCTTTTACACTTGGAATCTTTAATGATTAAATTTTTTTCACTATAAATTAATCCCATTGGTAGGTAATTATATTTAGGTAAGAGAAGAATATATTTGCTGCATGGATCACACAGAGTAATTTACATAATGAAATTATTTCCCAGGATATCAGTTTGAAAATTAATAATATACTTAATTATATTAAAATTATCTCTCAAAATATTTTAAAAACTCTGCCTATTAATCAGTGTTATAGATATTTCAGATTAGTTAATGTAAGAACATTTTTTGTAAATATGAGAGCACACCTTCATGAGTCACCTACGCATATTCTGACATAGACCTAGTTTATTTTTGTACTATCAGCTATCAGTGGATTTCGGAGTTTTATGAGGATTAGTAGGTCATATTTGCAATTAGTAGGTCTTTACAGCTTTAAATGGTTCAATGTCTTCTTGTGTATCTACTTATATAAAAACCCTGGGTGTAACATCATGGCCAGAACCGCGACCAACTGGAAGGAAGTCAGTCTTGCAGGGGTCGTCTTGGAAATGGCTACACCCTCCCCCAGCTGTTTTCTGGAGGGCGAGGTTTCAGGCAGGAACCCGCCCTTGGAGCGGAGGGTGGAAGTGAAATGATTTGTAATGGATCTATTATTGAAGATACCTTTGGAATAGATCAGTGGTTCTCAACCTTAGCTGAACATTAGAATCACCTGGGAATCTTTTTAAAATCCTGATTTCTGGACTTCATCCTCTGGAAATTCTGTTTCTTTGTTATGGGGTGGGGCCATAACATTAGTAACAAAGAAACAGAATTTCTGGAGGATGAGGCCCAAGTCAGGGCTTGT